TTTTAACGGAAAAAAAAAAAAAAAATCGTTCTTTTATCGCAGGGGTGGTTTTGTTTGATGTGTTGGAACGTAAGGGGTGGTATTGATTTATATGTAAAGGCATAAAAAAAGAAGAAAATTGTCATTTTTAATTATAATAATTGAAAATTACAGAAATTTATTTATATATATATATTTATGCATTTATTTATCTTTAAAATACTTTTTCTTATTATTATTTTATTTTTTTATAAATAGAAAAAAATATTTAAGGTGTGAAATAAGTAAATGCATAAAGATTATTAATATTTATTATTTTTTTATTAAATATATCACGGATGTTAATTTATCAAAAGTATTTTTTTATTTAATATTGATGGTGATTAATGGAACAATTTTTTTTTTTATGAAAAATAGTTATTTAATGTGGGGCCCAATAGTGTGCTTTTTGAGGATAGGTTTGTTGCGCTTTTGGAAGGGTGGGGCCGGTTTTGGTGCCTTATCTTGAATCCGATTGGTTGGAGGGCGAGGTTAATCTGTTGGGGAGGAAGGAGATTGGATGGGAGAAGGGAAGCAGAGATTTCGGGTGGGGCCCACGGGTGAAAAGAGCACGGGTAGATGGGCTACGCGTCAACGTTGGGTGGGGCCCTCGAGGCTTTTCGCTCCTACGTAGATGACTGTTATATGATGCAGTACAAATTTATTTTAATCTGTTGCGTAGCATCTGTTTGGGGCGCTTATAAGTGTAGAGATATTTTTGGAAATACTGTGGTATTATTTGGATCGCACGTTTTGTCCGTTTATCGAACCCCGCAGTTGACCTGTGGATCGCGTTTTAGGACAAGTTACTTATTCTGAAACGCAAAAGCTGCCCCAAAATATAAATCATTCATTCACGAAAATGTTAAGGGGGCTTACATTTATGCCACCCAAATCTTATATATTTAAGTATCTAACACCTAAATTTTCATATTTACATGCTTATCACTCATTTCTTCACATTACAAATACTATAACTACTAATTTTTTTAAAGTTGAAATAAACTTTAATATTCGTGAATAGGCTTGTAACAACAGGATGTTATTAATGTAAATATTAGACTTTAGGTGGTATATATGTAAATACATATGAATAATGTGGAGTGTATTAAAATTTCTAATTGCTAATTTATTAAAATAAGATTATTTTTGAAGGGTAATAACATAATTCATCCAAGATTAATAGAATATCAAATTTTTAAGTAAGAAGTTGATGTAATGGCAAAATATTATGGTGGTTTTTGCTATATATATATATATATATATGATGATGATACCATCTACAAATGTTAAGTAGAGCTATTTAATTCAACAAACATGATCTTGCTAGCAAGCTAACATAATCTCAACTAACGTTCAACAAAGTTACACACTATGTCTTGAGGTCCCTACTTAGAAATCAACAAGTATAGAGGCATTTGCATATGTACCCCGAAATTCCTACGTATTTACATGCCTAACAACTAAACTTTATTTATTTTTTTGCATTCATATCATCCATATCTTTCGTACACTTAAAAAAAACATTACTAACTTAACTTTTAAAAGGGAAATACACATTTTCATGGATAGGTAAGGTGACATATATATAGAATTAAGTTGTTAGATATCTAAATTCATAAGAATATAGTGGAAATCTTCCAATTAACAAGTTGATTTATTCTACATTAAGCACATTTTAAACTATTTTATGAACTTTATTTGTAATACATGAATTTAAAATTTCTAAGAACAATATGCCTTGCTTCAAACCAATTAAAAAAAAATTAAAGGGTTAGCCTGACATATCGAACCATTTCTGATAGATTATTTCCTTCAAAATAAGATACTTATGTCTTTTTTCTTAAAGATGAGTTAAAACTATTTCAAATGACATGAATTTAATGAGTTTTGTGCTAAAAGATATGAGAAAATTATAATAATCATAAGTGAAACATTGAGAATGAATTATTTTAAGTAATAAAATGTCTTTCAATATGAATGTGACGTTTAAAATTGAGCAATGATAGTCTTATAATTGCGATAAATTCTAAAAATAAATTATTTAATTTGAAATTTAATTTATTTAAATATTGAATTGTAATTTTTTTCCTTTGTATGGCATGCTTTTTTTTCATTTTTAAATAAATTATCTTCAAAATTGTAAATATTCAATTTAATTTGAAATTTAATTTATTCCAAGCATTAGATAAATGAGATCAATTTATATTATTTTTGTGACATATGTTGCTTTTGTGATCTCTTTTATTTATAAGCATGAGATCATGAGATATCATTAATATATATAGTTAAGGTTTAGAATATAAGGGAAAACAAATGAATGGATATTAGTAATTCAAGGCAGGTCAACCCAAAATGTTTGTACTAAATTTTTAGTTGTTGCATGACATGAGAATTTGCATGTTTGATAATCCTTGTTTTATAACTAGCAACTTTCCTCTTAGGAGCACTTTGGTTAGAGGGATTATGGATGTACAATATTCCAAATACAAGATATTCAAAATTTTTATATGTTTGATTAGCATGAAAGTAATGTAAAATTTATTGGAGCAATTTGAAACTCTTCTTTCGTTTACTTAATTTTGATGTATTCCATAATCTCCTAAATTATATGGTGTTAAAATGCATCATACGTCATGACCTACCTGGCTGACACGACTTGAGTGTTTATCATGTTCTCTTCTCCTTCATACGCCCCCACTTTTTCCAATTATACCCTGAGCAAGTTTCTTACTTAGTTGATCTCATATTCTCCTTGGCATGATGCCAATTCTATCGATATATCTACCTTGTCAAGCTCTCATCCACATTTGTCCCAAGTTAGCTTCCCTTATTATCCTACCCACCCTTTCACATATTATTGGTTCCATTGAAACCTCACCATACTAGGGTCTGTCATGTTTCATCCATTGTGAGCTTCTCTCAAGACTTCGACTGCTCCTTCATATGTTGTCAGTCATATCAACCCTAACAAGCTTTCATCGGGATTCACTCCTAACAATGCCCTATGAGAGCTCCATCACAAAATTGTCAAAGTTTTTTTTTGTTCATTTTTTATTAAATCAAGACAAAATTAAAAAAAATAACAGCAAATTGTAAATAAAATATATTTGATTTAAACTAAAGTTGAAGTTTTCTTGAAATATTAATTTGCTTCACTTTTTGTAATTGTAAGCAAGGCAAGGTTTTGCTTGATTTCACCTTTACTTGCCTAATTTTTTACAATGAGATTTGAATTATACAAAAAAAGTATTAGAGGAATTACATACATACCCCTCCTACGTATTTACATATCTTATCTAATTTTAGCATAATATACTTAAAATTAATATATATATATATATATATATATATACATATATATCTCTCAACTCGCTTTCATCACATCTATAAT